GAGTGCAAAATATACTTCACTGAAACAAAATATTTGTCAGAAATGGTTAAGCAAGCCCACCAAACTAAAGAGATCGTACCAACAGGAGTATAATGTGGTATTTGGACAAGTATTCTACTAATGGAAATGTTGTTTTGGTAGCTGATCTCAATGAGCGTGGTTTCAGACTTTACTGGTGTAAGAGTCAGCAAAACCCCAAGAATCTGGGCTTTATTTGATAATATGCATGTGCATTCAATGCCAGAGGTAAGATTTTGAAAGGTATTTGAAGTTTTTTTCAAACCTTTGTCTTAGTGCACTTAAGGCAAAATCCCCCCTTTAAGTAAAGCACTGCAGCTAAAAATGGAAGAAAAAAAATCTGCAGATATCATTGAAACAACACGTTTCCTAACTATCATTTCTGCTCTAAAACACAACCATGCCATCAAAAAGTATCTATGGTTTGCAGGATTCCTAACCCTAACCCTAGCTATGGGCTTGCAAGGTTAGGGTTAGGGCTCAGAATTTCCTCAAAGAATTAATGCAACCTTGCACTCAATTGAGTGGAAAATATACTTCACTGAAACAAAATATTTGTCAGAAATGGTTAAGCAAGCCCACCAAACTAAAGAGAACGTACCAACAAGCGTAAAATGTGGTATTTGGACAAGTATTCTACTATTTTAATTGTTTTGGAAGGTGATCTCAATGAACATGGTTTCAGACTTTACTGGTGTAAGAGTCAGCAAAACAAACATGAATCTGGGCTTTATTTGATAATATAAATGTGCATTCAATGCCAGAGGTAAGATTTTGAAAGGTACAGAATTTGAAGTTTTTTTCAAACCTTTGCCTTAGTACTTAAGGCAAAATCCCCCTTTTAAGCAATGCAGTGCAGCTAAAAATGAAAGACAATTCTGCAAATATCATTGAAACAACACTTTTCCTAAATATCATTTATGCTGTAAAACATAACCATGCCATCAAAGAGCAGCTATGTTTTACAGTAATCCTAACCCTAACCCTAGCTAAGGGCTTGCAAGGCTAGGGTTAGGGCTCGGAATTTCCTCAAATAATTAATGCAACCTTCCACTCAATTGAGTG